AAAACCCCAAAACCCCAAAACCCCTCAATTATTATTTTACATATTCAGAGAGTGTTGTGAACTATTTTATTCTTAAATTTAATTGATCATCATAAATATTAATATTTCGAGGAGGATTGGATAACTTTTTGAGTTGAGTTTCTATTTAGGATATTGCTTAGTGTGCTTGTTTTGGTCAAAAGTAACTTCCCATTCGCAGCGTTATACTGAATCTAAGCTCTATTTATCAGACTTGGCATAGAACTTATCTTAGACATTGGCATTGTAGACTAGTGAGGATTGAATTCATCATTAATAAGCATCTTATCATCAAGAGTATTTAGAGATTGAGTAGATGAGAAGTGGCTCACTCTAGCTAGTTACTGACTTTAAGCCAATATAGCAAGTTAGGCATTTTTAATATCTTTTCTGGGCGGGAAAGTCTTATCATAAAGGAGAGTCAAAACCCTCTCTTATGACATCAAGACATCTATGATTCTTTCTCGTTCTTAGATTGATATCTGATCCTACTGTTTATTATTTAGACCTATCTTTTTAATGTTTTTGTATATGCTCTACGTATCATTCCTCTTCCTATTAATTTCATCTCTGACATCTTCTATGCTTTGCCTAAGTATTTTTTCAAGTTCCTTTTTTATCTCCATCTCAGTAGAGTATATGGTCTTAATCTGGAAATTATTCTTTTTTTCAGTATCTAACATTTTCTTTAGCTACTCTATAAGTTACTCATACCTTTAAACTTTAGGATTGTTTGATTCTTATCTACCTGCAGCTAACAGTAGCTACAGGCGAGAACCCTATCTCGATCCTAGATTATTTTAAGATTACATTATAGAAGGTAAACCCTGTTAAGACTTTTGAAGATGATTGACCCCATGGATGTTAGTCCTAGCATTTAAAATCAGAGGCGTCTCCATTCTGCTTCCAGTGCTATTCTAGCTGTTCCTATTAATTTATTGCTTTGAGCTAGCTCTATTTAGACCAGCATACTAATTCTATTGACTTTACTGGTAATAATCATTAGAAGCTTGCTTCTTGCTATCAGAAGAGTTGAATGGCTGCTATTACTGCAACTGCTAATTATGTAGTTCTTATTCATAAGCTTATCTTTGCTTTTCTATTTCTTGCTATTATTGCATTTGCTCTTCTAGTTGTTAGTTTTCCAATATTTCAGCTTTTTCTTTCAATTCCTTTAGTTTCAATTAAATCTTTTTTCCTTCCTTTTTTTCATAAAGTAACTGCTATAAAAGTATCTCTCTGTCTTATTCTTATGATTTAACCTGAATGTTAAGATCAACATTTTTCTTCATTAATTCACGATTTTCAAAGTCAATTTTCTACGCGATTTGGGTCATAGTCTCCAGATGGTCATTCAACTCCTTTTCTCTCTCCTTAAAATCAGCAGAGTTTTCCCCTTTCTTTGCCTTCTCATCTTTTATCTGCTTTTTAATCTCTTCAAGTCTGTTATCAAGCACTTCACAAATTTCATTCCTCTGAGTTTCCAAAGCCTAGGCTGTAGTCTTTTGCACTTTTTCAATAGTTCTCATGATTTTATCATAGTTGGCTAGGATATCATTAGCATTCTTAGTGTTCATGTAAATGTTACGTCTTCTGCTTATCATATCTAGTTCCTTCTTATCAACTGTCTAAGTGTTCAATCCGCTACCATCATCGTCGTTGTTTCCATCCATATCATTGTTTGATAGTGACACTCCATTATTCAGCCTTGAAGCATGCCCATTCAATTGCTGAGTAGTACTTTACACTGACTGCTACAGGAAACCAAAGGGATCTGATGATCTTTTAGCAATTTCGTTGTGAATGTCATCGATGGTCTTTCTGTATTCCTGCTCACGACGAATGTAACTATAAAACGATTAAGCCTTATTTATTAATCTAAACTCACTATTCCTATTTACTGATCAGCTATTGCTTCAAATCTTTGCTGACTTATTTAGACTCTTCCCACTACATGTACTACCTCAATATCGTCGATGAATCTTCATCTTGCATCTCCAAGGTCTTTGTTCTCAGAGATGCTTCTTTTTTCTTTATATCTCTTAATATGTCTTGCTAAGAAGCTGAGTATTGTGTAGATGAACCTGCCAATAGCTAGGATCTCTTGTCCGTTACTGGCTAGACTTGAGAGAATATTTAGATCTAAGATTACGGAATATCTACATTCACAGATTATTACATTGAGTTTATTCAAGGATAATTTACCTTTCTCTAAAATGGGAGTCTGCTAGTACAGTTCCTATGCTAGTTTTTTAATCTTATCATGCGCTGTCTTGCCTGGTATCACTTCAATATTTGAATACTGGCCAATAGGTGATGTAATGTTTTTACCAGTACTATACTGCTTATTATCCTGGGTTGTTTAGTTGGAATTTTTAATTAAACCCCCGAATATCGATTTCATTTTATTTTGTCAAAATTTTATAACAATTAGTTACTTAAACATAACGGGGTTTTGGGGTTTTGGGGTTTTGGGGTTTTGGGGTTTTGGGG